ATACAAAAAAAATACATTTCCATAGTTTAAAAAAACCATTTGATGAATGATTTTATTGCTGACAACATGAATATCCCTTGTGTAATGAACCAAAAACAAAAACAACAAAATACAAAAATTGGTAGAAACTTTTTTTTTGTATTTCCTTAAATAAATATAACAGTTATCGATTTGGAAAAGAATCTGATAATGAAGATGGCAAGAGGATCTTGTCGAAACGCACTTTACTTCACATTTGACCCATGTACCTATCATTTTCAATATCAAAACAAATCAGTTACTTTTATCCCTTCAAATGTGAAATATAATAAATTTTAGAACATCAAAGAGAAATACTAATTAGGTATAAACAAATAATAATATATTGAATGTCGGTTAATAATTTCCGATTCCACATTCTATACCTACCAAATATTTATTGTAAAAACAGATTAAAAATTAAAATTATTGGTCCATTGTCAAGTTGATAAATGCAGTGTTTAATTATTTTGTATTGATTGGGCTGCTGACTATGATAGAAACATCTATTTAGTTCAAAAGAATTTTTCTCAAATTCTAAACATCGCCTTTAAAAAAATAATAACACCAGAAGCAGTTAGGTTAGAGAACATCGAAGAAGCAGATTAACTGCGAAAATTACTAGAGGAAAACTAGTCAAAATGCAGCAAGAAAAACATCACGGACTTTTAAATTCTTTACAAAACTTAGAAAGTTTAATCTAAGTTTACCAACTTATTTAGTAGCTAATATTGGACTAGACCAAATTCATTTAACCTAAGATTGGTTTGAAAAACAACATAAATTCGTTTCAGCTGAAATAAATCGGGAAAAAAAGTTAGCTATTATTGACTTTTCTCAATAAGTAATTATTCTCGGGCTGTTTTAATAATTTTTATAATTATTTTGGTTCAGGAAAATAAATCCCACAGAAGTGAATTTTCACAAAATTTTCACATAATCTGCATGTCTTTGTTTAGAATTAAAAAGATGTAGTGCCAAAGAATTTATCTTGAAATTCGATTTTTTGATGCATTTGAGTAGCTGACATTTGGTAGATATTCAGGAATTTAACAATTATTGATTTACTAATTTCATCCTCGCGAAAATTCCTTCTAGAAAATTTAATTTAAAGTTTTTTTTTTTTTTACTTTGCTAATTTTCCTGGTCAATAATTTCTCCAAAATGATCTAAGCATTCCACAGTGTGTCCACTTAAGTTCGCAGCATATGAAAAAATAATATTATAGTTATTTATGTATCAAGGGAATTATGAGGGTGTTAATACCCCAGCGCACCAATTGCTCGTGGGTATTAACACCTGATAATTCCCGTGGTACATGGATAATCTTATATCCTACTGAATTTACTGTATTTTGTCTATTCTTGTAAATGACTAAACCATAAACCAAAATTTCTTTTCTTGTGTATAGCTTTAAATACCTATTCAAGTTAAAAGCGGGACCTATGGAAATCCTTAACTCCCGCGCGGGAGTAAGGACCCTGTTTATGATTATCGTAACCATGGTATTACGATTATAATAGTTCAGTAAGATATAAACTATTAAAACTTGAAATAGCATGTACAGGGTGGTCAGAAAATAGAGAAATATACAGGGTGTTCCCTAAGTACCTAATGGTTTTCTCAATAACTGATAGGGAAAAAATTTTGAAACTTCTGGAGTAGAAAAAGAAAGACTAGAAACTCATCATACTAAAATTTCAAATAAATCCATCAGAAAACAACCACAGGAAAAATTCCTGGAAATTAACAATACATGATTTCACATTCTAATGGTTTTATCAAAAACTGATAAGGAAAAAATTTTGAAACTTCTGGAGTAGAGAGAACAAGACTAGCAGCTCATCGTACCAAAATTTCAAATTAATCTAGTAGAAAACAAACACAGGAAAAATTCCTCTTGAATAAAATATAAAATACATGATCTCACATTCTAATGGTTTCCTCAAAAACTGATAAGGGAAAAATTTTAAAACTTTTGGAGTAGAGAGAGAAAGACTAGAAGCTCATCATATTGAAATTTCAAATTAATCTAGTAGAAAACAATCACAGAAAAAATTCCTGGAAATTAACTTTGAAAAACTAAATAAATATAAAATACATTTCACATTCTAATGGTTTCCTCAAAAACTGATAAGGGAAAAATTTTGAAACTACTGGAGTAGAGAGAGAAAGACTAGAAGCTCATCATACTGAAATTTCAAGCTAATCCAGTAGAAAACAATCACAGGAAACATTCCTGGAAATTAACTTTGAAAAACTAAAAAAAATATAAAATACATGATCTCACATTCTAATGGTTTTCTCAAAAACTGATAAGGGAAAAATTTTTAAACTTCTGGAGAGAGAGAAAGACTATAGCAGCTCATCATACTAAAATTTCAAATTAATCGAGTAGAAAACAGCCACAGGAAAAATTCCTGGAAATTACCTTTGAAAAACTAAAGACATAAAACAAATAATCTCACATTCTAGGTACGGTTCGTAACTTCAGGATATGATTCCTTACAATATTTTAAGAAAAAAAGTTCCCATAAACATGTGTCCGGAAATGCGTAATTTCTGAGATACCGGGTGTCAAAGTTTTGAAAAAAATATCGCTTTTTTATTTTTGAGCTAACCAACCGATTTTTTCTTAAACTTTAACACCCTGTATCTCAACAATTACGCATTTCCGAACACATGTTTATGGGAACTTTCTTTCTTTAAATATAGGGTATTCCAGCCGAGAGTGAACCATTTTAAATGCTTATAACTTTTAAACCAGGTGTGCTAGCTACCTGCGGCCTGCGGTCTGGGGTTTGTGCCATTTGATTTCTCTTGGCCTAAAGTTTTTTTTTTTTTTATAAGATTGCACATTTTTTTAAACTTATAGAGAGCGAGTAAAAAATAAAAATCCATTTTTCAACATCGAAATTCTCCACTATTTCTAATGGAACACCCTGTATATCACAACGTCAAAAAAAAGATTCATGTTCAAGGTATTCATGTATCAATAGACATCGTCTCTAAAACTTGAAGTTCTAGCCCTAAAAAATCAAAATCGAAGATTTGGTATTTTTGCAAACGCATGCAACTTCATGTTGTAGGTAGATATCACTATGGCAAACAATTTTGTAACTGTCTAGTTAGATATCAATTAAGTTAAAATACATTTTCCAAGAAAATTTAACAAGTTCCAGAGTCTTTTCTCTGGAACAGAAACAGTTTGGTGTACAATCTCTATTGAGAGAAAATACAGACCATTTTCATTAATGAACCAACGATAACAGAAACTGTATACACTGATATGTTCTTTTGTCTTACAGTTAAGACAGGAGGATATCTTGGATGATATCTATTTCCAGCAGGATGATGCCTCCACCTCATTATTCTTTAATAGCGAGGGAATCAATAGATATGACATTTGGGGAAAGACGGATAAGGAGAGCTGGTCCTATACAATGGACACCTCACTCTCCTGACTTGAGAGTTCTAGACTTTTTTCTTTGAAGCTATGTCAAGGAAAGATGCGGTAATACTTTGCCCAAATAGCCTGGGAGATCTTAAGCGAAACATTTGTAATGTCATTGGAGCTATTCTCCAGGAAATGTTACACAATTCATTCAACCATTCACTGATCCATAAATGCCTGGAACAGAATGACTAACATATACATATACAGCATTTTGTATAATTTTATGCAGTTTTTATTAACTTTTCATTAGGCAAACATAAGTTCCAAGATATGCATTTGCGAAAATAGATACCAAGATTTCGAGTTTGATTTTTTACGGCTAAAACTTTAAGTTTTAGGGACAATGTCTATTGTACATGGATACCTTAAACATTAATCTTTTTTTTTTGACGTTGTGATATACTGGGTTTTCCATTAAAAATAGTGGAGAATTTCAATGTTGAAGAACGGATTTGTTTTAATCGCGCTGTATAAATTTCAAAAAAATTTGCAACCTACTAAAAAAAAACTTATGGCCAAGAGAAATCGAATGGCGCAAACCGCAGGTAGCTAGCACACCTGATTTAAAAGTTATAGGCATTTAAAATGGGTCTGTAAGGAGTCACATCCTGAAGTTACGAACGGTACTTAGGAAACACCCTGTAGGTATATTTTTCTATTTTCTGATCACACTGTACATGCTATTTTAAGTTTTAATAGTTTAATACTATTTTTTCAAGAAGCAGAAACTTTTATGAAAAATAACTTTTTTTCGTAAAATTGATAATAAAAAAGTTTCTCATATGCTGCTGGTAGACTGAATGCAAAAAGCAGAATACAGCTTCATCAGACTTAATAAAGAACCACTCTATTAAGAGCAACAAATAGCTATACCTATATTTTACTAATTCCTGCCAAAATATAAATTGCTGGTAACTCTCTGCAAGATGTATTTACCGTTCTATGATTCTATTGGTCGGAGTATCGTATAGGTGACCGACCCATGGGATTACAGATTGAATTTTTATCAGTCAGATTGCATTGCAAATCACAGCTAGAAAAGTCTCCACTTCTTCGACTTCGACCTAAGACATCGACAGTGTAAAGTCAGGTAAAATCAATAAAATTGAGAAAAAAGGTAGCGTGCTAGGATCTTGATAGTATACACCAACAGGTGCAATTACTTTATATTGCTTTTGGACGGCATCAAGAAGAGTCAAAAAGACTACCATCGATTTATTGAAAGGATCCATTCAGTTTATCAATTATTATTACTAATCTTGGAAAATTTGAATATCTGATAATTTCTCCTGTGTGGAATTTCAAAAAAATGTTTGATATTTTTTAAAATTTAAAAAATACTATATTAAAAAAATGTTACTTTACCCAAAGATTAATCCATTTAACACTGCACCTATCACCAAGTCTTGAAACAAAACAAAAAAAAAACAGCGGGACAAATAGGTAGGTACATCTATATTTAGATATAAACTAAAATATTGATGTGAGCAAAGGCACTAATTGAAGATTAACCATATTTAATAGGTTAGAGAGAGACAAATTCTTGGGCGATAACGGGGACACAAAGGGGAGACTTGCTGGGATTAGCAGGGAGCTCTGTCAGCTTTGGATCAGCAGTAGCGTCTGGCAAGGACAACGTCGAACAACTACCCCCGGCTGTCACTCGTGGACCCATATTATCATACTTCATCGGTACGGGCAATGGTCTTCGAGGAAGCGTCGCCATACCATGGTATATTGGTTTTGGTCTGTGGGGCAGATCGAGTAAGTCCGGACACCTGGAAACGTCCACGATATTTGGATCGCGACTTACCGAAACTGAAATGAAAATGTTCCCGTACGCACCAGCCGGAAGGGTACTGGTGGAAAATTCGGGTGGCGGTGGGAAAACCACCATTGGAAGCGGCTCGCGCTCGATTGTGATATGCACTGGTGGTTCCATCATGTCCATTTCTGGACCGATAGCTTCCGAACTACCGGTCCCCCTATCTGTGGTAGTAGCGATACTCACATCCAACAGTTTTTTTTCTTGGTCCGTAAAGCTTACACTCGCTTGAATGTTACGACCCTGCAAATTGTTCCTGTTGCGGGCACAACACACTGCTGAAACAGTTATCACAGTAGACAGTATTAAAACAATCCCGATCAATATTAAGCCCCACCAAACCACCACCGACTCTGATTTGCTGAGAGTTGTAGCGGTTACAACTTCAGGCAACACCAAACTGACGTTAACTTCCGCATAGTCAAGCACATTTTTCGCCACGCAAGTATATAATCCGACATCTATTTCGCTAACGTTGTAAACTGTGATATTCACCCACTTATCCAATAGTCCTTCTTCAGCTTCAATAACAAGCCAAGTGTGATTGATTGGATGACCTTCAAATAACCAGGATACTTTTGGTTCTGGATCACCAATTACGCGACAACCGAAACTAATATTTCCACTGGCTTCCGCTTGCACTTGATGCTGTGGATAAGCAAAAACTTGTGGTACACATGCAAATTCCGTCGAATCGACATCTTCCCAACGCTGATCTGTTAGGATTTCCGGCTCATAGCACAACTGGGACACGGAATAAAGTTTACTAGCCAAAAACCAGTTTCGAAAACCTCGAAGTTCGCAGTTGCATTTCCAAGGATTACCTTCGAGCATCAAAGTTTTCAAATGGGCGAAACTCATGAATGTCGCCTCCGACAAGTTTCGTAATAAATTATTTTTAAGATTTAAAGTTTCCAATGCAGTAAGGTGCTCAAATGCATCCCGGTGAATAAATTGCAACTGGCATCCTTCCAGCTCCAGATTCCTTAAATGCGGTAAAACGGGAAATTGAGCTTTTGTCAACTGTCGTAGAGGATTACCATTAAGATAAAGTATCCTTAAACGTTCATTTCCGTAAAATGTTTGAGGATGTAAAAGCATAATATTGTTATTAGACAAATCTATCTCTACAAGGATAATTAGTTCCTTGAACGCGTCCTGATGTACCTCGCTAATGCCGCTATTCATCAAATAAATCCTCTGGAGGTTAATCAGACCCACAGATTGAAATGCTGCCTTCTGCAATTTCGGTATGGAATTTTGAGATAAATCCAGGACTTGCATGCCTTCATCCAAATAGGCTGGGACTTGGGTTAAGCCTTGCTTCTTGCAGAAAGCGGTCCTTTTCCCGGAAATCCATTTACAGTGGCACGGGGAAGGACAATCGGTCCAATCGGGTGCTGCAAGAGCCAACGCTAACGTTAGCATCAACACAAAAACTAGAGCCATTTCCTGGAATCATATTGGTTTAAAAACATTCCGTTGCTTCAATCGCCACACCGTATCACTTCTATATGAATTCCGTCTTGAAAGCATTTTTATTAGGTCCGTCAACGCATCTTTTACGAGCTGACGCACAACAACACTAACTTTCCGAAAACTAACACAAACTTTTACTCTTGAGTTCCAGAAATAGACTCCGACCGGTAGGGTCTGGATACTATCGACACACAGGTCGTTATCCGGGAAGATAAATTTAAAACTTGCACGCTAGATATAGGAGTGCTTCTGGAACGCGGAAAAGTCGTATTTTTCCAGCACGGGCCGACGCGTAGAAGCGCTCCAGGACCAGGTTCACCGCACTATGATTTTCGTCCGCAGCTTTATGGGTCGGAGTCGCCCCCGTATTTGTTGCGTCGGCGTCGCTGGTCGGGAGATGCGCCCGCCCAACCCTATGCAGCAAGAACCTGCTGCTTCTCACCTCCTGTCGAAGCCACTGTGAATTTTCCGTAGATTTATAACAATTGATTTTCGACGCTGAAATTAATCAGCAACCGCGATATTTTCAACAATTCAGGAAGAAATAGGATACAGCCCTTATACGCAAAAGGTTCGATAAATTTTATGCAGGAATAAATAAGTCAAATGTAAACTTTTCCTGAAGCCATGATGATAGGCTAGTTAAAAAGCTAAAGCGATGCATTGAGCAGGATTTTCTGTAGGTTCTTTCTTCTTGAGCAATGCAAGTTCCTGCTTCCATCACTTATACTGAGAAGCAGAAAAAGTTAATACTTGATGAAATACAAAAATTTCGTACATTTTGCAGGTAAATATCTCGAAAACGAAAAAACATATCGAAATGCGGTTTGTTCCGGGAGAATAAGAATTTTTCAAAGTTTCTTTCCACAATATTGCCGAATCCTGAAATTTGCTGAAATTTAGTTTTACAGTAATGCGATTTTTTGAAATCAAATTACTGCTTTATTTTCAATGAAACACGCTGTATATTTTATCATCGTCAGAAAGCCTGATTTCTCTAGCTGCTTTACAAAAATGTATAATTTTTTCTAATTATGTTGGAATCACATTGTAGAAATTAGGAAGGTACACTTTGTTAAAAACTATCAACAATCAAAAAAAAAAAAAGAAAAATACTTCAAGCAAAGGACTTCAAAGTTTCAGGATTTATTGAGTAGGGTTTTTTTATCAAACAGAAGAAACCGCGAATAGTTCTCGGGCTCAGAAATGAAATTATGATTTTTTTTCTCACTTAGATGCAATAAAATCAAGTACAATTTTTGTTAGATCACCTTTAATGAACGCTTCTGAAAAATACTTCAAGCAACCAGAGGGACTTCAAACTTTTAGGATTTATTGAGTAGGGTCTTTTTATCGAACAGAACAAACCGTGAATGGATCCCAGTCTCAAAAATTAAATCATGAATTTTTTCTCACTTAGATGCAATTAAATTAAGTACAATTTCTATTAAATCATCTTTGAAAGCTCCTGAAAAATAGTTCAAGCAATCAGAGGGACTTCAAACTTTCGAGATTTATTGAGTATAGTGTCCTTTTATCAAACAGAACGAACTGCGAATGGTTCTTAGGCTCAGAAATGAAATTATGATTGTTTTCTCACGTATATGCAATAAAATCAAGTAAAATTTCTATTAAATCACATTTGCAAGCTTCTGAAAAATACTTCAAGCAATCAGAGGGACTTCAAACTTTTAGGATTTATTGAGTAGAATCCTTTTATCAAACAGAACAAACCGCGAATAAATATCAGTCTCAGAAATAAAATTATGAATTTTTTCCCACTTCTATGCAATATAATCGAGTAAAATTTCTATTAAATCACCTTTGAAAACTTCTGAAAAATACTTGAAGCAATCAGAGGGACTTCAAACTTTCAGGATTTATTGAGTAGGGTCTTTTTATCGAACAGAACAAACCGCGAATGGATCTTCGGCTCAGAATTGAAATTATGAATTTTTTCTCACTTAGATACAAAAAAATCGATAATTGAACGAAACCTTGACAACAAAGTCCAATTTTTACAATGCAATTTCAGGATTATTAAAAAAAATATATATTTTTGTGAAGAAGAAAAATCAGGCTTTCTGACGTTGACAAAATATAGCGTGTTTTATTAAAAATAAGCCAGTATTTTTATTTCAAAAATTTGCATGTCTGTAAAACCAAATTTCATCAAAGGATAACGCACACCTAGCATGGGATTTTTGGGCTCTATGAATTTTGCCCATTTTTTGATATGTTGTAGAGGATTTAATTCTGAACAACCCTTAAATGGGACGAAATCTTGTAGGTCTTACGATTTTTGAGATATGAGCGTTGGAAAATGATTTTTATTTACAATCATACATGTAATGTTGACTTTACTGACTTTTAAAAAGTTTGAAAATGTCACTTTTTTGACTTTTACTTTCAGCCCACGGGTCGAAAGTTTACTTTCGACCCGTGGGCCGAAAGTGAATGAAATTTTCAAAATTTATTGTATTTTTTGACTTTTACTTTCGGCCCACGGGTCGAAAGTTTACTTTCGACCCGTGGGCCGAAAGTAAATGAAATTGTTAATTATTGTATTTTTTTGGTTTCAATTCAAATAAAGATATAAAAATTTGAATGATTGTAAATAAATAATATACTATTTTTGCGACTTTTTGTGTGGAGAGTATACGAGATACTGGTGCTACTGGTGTTTATCAGTCAAAATATTGACAGGTTCACATATTTTACGTCACTTAAAAATCAATGTCAACTTAGGTTAAGGCCGAGACCGCACTGGGCTCAATGTTGGCGTCAGTGCGGTCCCGGCCTTAGCCTATGTTGACATTTGTTAGTGACGTAAAATATGTCGACCTTTCAAAATTTTGAATGATAAACACCAGTTTTTCGTATACTCTCCACACAAAAAGTTGCAGAAAAGTTCATCTTTCAACGCTCATATCTCAAAGACCGTAATACCTACAAGATTTCGTCCCATTTAAAGGTTGTTCAGAATTAAATCCTCTACAACATATAAAAAATGGGCAAAATCCATAGAGCTCAAAAATCCCATGTTAGGTGTGCGTTATCCTTTCAGGATTCAACAATACTGTGAGAAAAAACTATAAAAAATCATTTTTTCTCCCAGAACAAACCGCATCTCGTTATCCTTCCTTGTTTTAAAAATATTTACCAGCAAAATGTGTCAGTTTATCTAAGGACACCCTGTATAATAAAGCCCCCATGTTTCCTATACAATGAAATATCAAATGCAGGCATCTTATTAATTAACAAAATACATAGCTATCTAAATATAAACTGATATCTCCTTCTCAGTACAGATTTCAACAAAAAAAATCTTCAGCCGATGCTATAAACGAACTAATCGTGCACATTAATGTATTCTACAATGGATGATTCGAAACCTGCGCTATGTGTCTTTTTGGACCTAGCAAAGGCTTTTGATACCGTCTGTCATCATCAACTACTACACAAACTGAAGGAAATAGGAATTAGAGGAATAGTATATTATGACCTTTTCAAATCTTACCTACAAAAAACCAAAGTAATTTTGATAGAAAAGGAAGAGGACCTCAAAAACTAGGTCATTCTGAGGAACAAAAGAGGCTCTGTATAGTTTATATAAATGCACAAAGTATTAGAAATAAGTGGAATGAAGTGCAATGTCTTGTGTTAAATAGTAAGTGTGATATCCTTTATCCTTTTGATAGCTGGAACTTGGTTGTCGAAACAGACGTTGGCTATTTTGAACTTGACGGCTACAGCTCAACACATTCCTATCGTAACCAGATAGGAGGCGGCACATCTATGTACGTAAAGGATGGCTTAAAATATAAGGAACTACATGAATCGCCCCCCAGCTGAAAACATGAGTTGGATCTGTGCCCTGATAGGAAACAATAAGTTTAAGGTCAGTATAGTATATAGACCACCATCATATAATTACAATAATTTTCTGAGTTACCTTGAGAATATGATGACCATGCATCCCAAAAAACACATTATTGTGGGTGATTTCAACATTAATTTGTGGGAAAACTCAGCTGAGGCACAAAATTATAAGTCTTTAGTGGCATTAAATAACTTTATTTTCAACCACATATGTAATGTTGACATTGCAGGTTTTTCAAAATCTTGAAAGTGTCACATTTCTGGACTTTGACATTTATCGGGACGGTAATGCATATGCCTGCCTAGGACGGAATAGTTATTTTCCTAACAAGTGCGCAAAGTGTTACTTTTCCGCACGCAAACACAGTTATACGAACGACGCGAAGCGGAGTTCGGATACGTGTTTGCGTGCGGAAAAGACACTTTGCGCACGTGTTAGGAACAACATTTTTCCTACGAGCTTCATATCAGGTAGGTAATAACAAAAATTAAAAAAAAAAAAACGATAATTTGTTTAATTATTTTTAATTAACTTGAAAGGAACCTATGCATTTATCAAAAAATTACATAACAGAAACAAATAACAGAAAATCCTCGTCAGAGCTGTTCATCTTAAAGCGTTTAAATTTGATGAGAAAGTTTATAGATTTTTGCATATAAATAGAGAACAAATCTGATGGGTCAAAGTTAATTTATAATTGGTGTTTGTATAGATGTTGGCTGATATAGAAATAGAGGAAAAATTTGTCATCATGTGTCAAAGTCGACAGGTGCACTTATTGTTGCTTGACAATTATAATTACTTTTCGGCACTCAGTGCGGATAAGGCCTGTATCCGCACTGAGTGCGGAAAAGTGTAACTTTGAGCCCGGAAATGCGTGCGGAAAAGTACTACTTTGCGCACGCTCGTAGGAAATAGTTATTTTCCTAACAAGTGCGCAAAGTGTTACTTTTCCGCACGCAAACACAGTTATACGAACGACGCGAAGCGGAGTTCGGATACGTGTTTGCGTGCGGAAAAGACACTTTGCGCACGTGTTAGGAACAAAATTTTTCCTACGAGCTTCATATCAGGTAGGTAACAACAA